AGTTTTATAGAGAGGATAGGTCTTTTTGTGATGTTACAGATTCTTGTGATAATTCTCTGTGTCAACTATGTCACTTCAGCACTTTTATTATTCTTTTTTCTTTTATTTACCTAAGTATGTTTACTCTGATGTCATGTTACTTTAGTTCAAAATGAGGTGTAATAACTCAATGTATATCGGAGATCATCTCATTATAACTGCATCATTTGCTGCTATATTATATTTTGTTTTGCACTTTTTTAACTGTTCGGACATAAATGAGAACCCATATATTGATGTCCTGCAATAGCTATGTCATGCTTATAAAATTTATCATTACAATACCTGAATAAAAAAATAGATTGGCCAATAAAACAACAAACAGATAAGTCCATTAATCCTTGTCAAAGTAGAATGAAGACAAAAAAAAATAATCTGAGGGTTATAGAAGAGACAGTCCAAAATCCAAAGCCATGTTGTTAAGATAAATTTAGTCTTAGGGAGGATAACTTAATCATATCCGGGGCAAGGTCATAATCCATCAGTAAAAAGGTGATGACAAAGTAGAATAGAGTTAAAGAGCCATGTCGGTATGGAGAGATCAATCTGAATGAATTTTTGAGAGTTAGAAAATCCAGTTAACCATTCCAAAGTCAATTGCCAGTAATCCTATTCTGAATAACTGATTTATCTGTAGGGTTTGTTGCAAAAGAGGAGCCTGAGGAGAAAATAAAACAGCATACACCTTAAAGTTTATACAGATTAGTAGTGCGTAGACACACTGATGGCACATGCTTTTACTGTGGAGCGGAACGCCTGTCAGTGTCTCTTAAATTGACATTATTAAATACACGGAATTCCCTTAAAGAAAAATCCCTCAATAAATAGTGGAATCCCCTTAAACATGAGACTATCTGTGAGTGTTTTAGTGTGTGTATGTGTAATATTATTTGTCTATAAAACGTTTATTTATAAATTATTTTACCAGGAAAGATACATTGAGATTTCTCTCGTTTTCAAGTTTGTCCTGGGTCCACAAAACATTGCATTGTTACAATTAGGCTACAATGAAATACAAAAAACTATATTAATACACAACATATATACAAAATTTAACAAAGAACAGGTAAGAAATATATAATCAACCATGACAGGTGCATTCTGTTTTGAGATATGTAGGGAGGGATCTCTTAAAGGACTTTAGGCTTGGGGAAGATTTGAAAGTGTGCGGGAGGTGTTCCATAATTGTGGTGCTCTGTAGGAAAAGGAGGATCAGGCTGCTTTCTTTTTGTATTGTGGTATACTAAATAAATTGCTGGTACTGGATCGGAGGTTATAGGAGGTGGGAACAGCCGCGGAGAGCATTATGCTCAGGTAGGGTGGGAGCTTCCCAGAAAAGCTTTTAAACACAAGGCTGGAAAGTTGAAGGGTGCGTCTGGATTCCAGTTTAGTTTAGTTCTTTTAACATGTCACAATGGTGGGTCATGTAATTACATTGTAGCACAAATCGGCAGAACGAGTTATAAAATCTAGTAAATATATTAAGGTGGGACTGCGGTGCAGATCCATATACTACATCCCCATAATTAATGATTGGCATCAGCATTTTCTGTACAATATTTTCCTTTATTGTGGGGCTTAGGCCAGATTTGTTTCTGTACAGAGCACCTAGTTTTGGATAAAGTTTTGATGCAAGTTTTTCTATGTGGAGGACAAAGGATAGATTGGGATCCAACAACATACCCAAGTATTTGAAAGAGTGGACTGCGGTCAGTGTGTTATTGTGCAACAGTGTGTGTATCTGTTAGTATGTATAACAGTTTGTGTGTCTGAGTGTTTGAGTGTTTGAGTGTGAATATGTGTAATATTGTGTATATATGTAGGTTGTAAGCTCGATCGAGCAAGGTCCTCATCAACCTTACTGTGATCCTGTTGCTACCAGATATGGGACTGGCTATCCCCACCGTAATAGTTGAACTAAGTTGTGGTCCAGGCACTCAAGGGTCAATTATGCAGCAGATTTATTGAGAAAAGGTACAGCATTTTGATCTCCAAGAGATATTTCTCAAAGTTTCTCAAACAGCAAATGTGCCACTATAGGGGGCACCTCCCTTCTTGGAACATGCAAGAATCTTAGGTCAAGAATCTTAGAGACTTATGATAACTACACTAAGTCCCTAAGATTGTTAACCAACCTGCATGTTCCAAGAAGGGAGGTGCCCCACATAGTGGCACATTTGCTGTTTTACTGAGAGCCCAGTTAATTGGCTCTCATAAAGGTGAGCAGAACCTGTACTATCTATTTTATGTCTTTACAATATCACACTAGGAGCTTGCCTCCCACTCTGCTTTATTTCCTCTCTGAAGCACCCCATTATTAAAGATTTGGGTGTGACCATACATACCCCTGAAGTTGTGACTTGAGCCTATCCTAATTTGGCTCTGTCCCATGGGAGTGCATTCATCGTTTAGTACTCACTCATTTTGGTGTATTATTTAATACACTATATTATATTTCCTTTATTTTTAGTGACACAATATTCCCCTTAATATAAGTGTTCTTATACATAGAGCTCCACAGGGTTTACATGAGTGGGTTTATACCACTCAGTTCACTTTTTTGCATGGTTGTGTGTGCAGTTTGAAGAAATGTCACGTTTGTAGTAGCTACTATTTAAAGTTTGTTGCAATTTTATTGGAAATTGACGTATAAGCAGCTGACAGCACTGAGCACTTTTTCTTCTTGTAATATTCACAAATCACTGTAGTTATAACTCTGTATAGGGAAACTGGACACAAGGAACTGTATGCACCATAACCTATCCAATCTGCAGAAGTTGTCATCTGACCATATCAGAAACTAAAGTGTATCCATCTTCTGATTCTGGACATACAGTGTTAGTACATATCAGATATTAATGTGTGTAGCTGGCATGTTTTTCAATTTCCCTTCAATTTATAAATGCATTTCTCAATTTCACACATAATCAACTTGATCAGAGAAGAAATTACACAACAAAGTCCTTAAAAAAATGAATTTGCTTAAATTATATAGTTTGCAAACAAGTTTTTGGGGAACAACGCATGTAAACCTTGTCTAAAGTACGTCAAAGGTAATCTGAAAATTGCTTTCCTTATTTCATGTAGTGATTTCTCGTTTGTTCTAGAAACACATTTCAGAGAATACAAGCATACGGTAGTTGTCATGCTCTTATATAAAGCATTAATGTTTACCGTTAAAGTGTGCAAAACGTCATTACATAGCCGCTAATCACACATTTACAAAGCTTACACAAACCTATCTTGTACTGAAAGGTAAAGAGGAAGTGGGCTGCTGGAAGTCATTGTCACTAAGTGTAACAAATCTTTTAAGTGTTAATTACTAGATCTTGTTCTAATCCAAGCATTACACGTTACACTTTCGCACTCACTTAGGCATCCCATTAGCTGGCTGGCAGGATATCATTCTGCCATTGAATAGAATGGAGGAGTGTTTTTAGACCCACATTGTGTAATACTAGCAAAGGAACATCGACTACTGTGTCATGCTGTCATTCTTCTTTAATGATCTGTTTCTACTTTGTGGGTATTATGTAAACACGATTTAATTCACTGATTGCAAGAGATGGTACTTTGTTAGCCAGCAAACTAGATGGGGACAAAACTTTCTTATCTTAGTACTGAATAAATCAAACAAAATGATGTAACGCCGTCACTGCGTGCCATGACTATCTACATAAATGTCTCCAAAATATAGACATATAGACTATAATTATCCCTGTTACACCCCTTTGTTCCCCCTTTGTTCCCGCCCCTTGCTTACCCACCTGGGAGCTACGAGTCTGGGCTAGTAGCTGCCCAAAGAGCGCTCTCTCCAGTGCTACCTATGCTGAGATATCCACTGGAGAGAGACCTGAGCCCTGGTGAAGCTGCATTCTTAGTGAGCTGTCCAGGAGGTGGAGGGTCTGGGAGGGAGGGTCTGCTGCTGGTTGGCTGGAATGTGTCTGCTGACTGTGAGGTACAGGGTCAAAGTTTACTCAATGATGAGTCCGCGGCAAACCGTTCGTGGCGAACAGTTTGGGACATCACTAGTGACCAATATTAAAATCTAACCTACACATTAAATCAGTATATTGTACATACATCTGGCCACTGTTCTGCGAGAATATTCTCGGAACATAATGCCATGACTGGGATCTCCAACTCAGTTACCTCATGCACAAGTGCAGATGATCTCTTAGTCAAGTGCTGAATACAAAAGGAAACAGTGTCTCTAAATCCAGCAGTCAATCAGCTGCTGGATACTCCCAAAGCTATGTGTGTTACTGGAACGTCAACAGTGCACAGAACAAACAGAGAGTTTCTTTGTACACACACACAAACACACATGCACACACACCATCTTCAGCAGTGATACTATCTTTCAGTCTTCAGCTTGGCAGGATACTGGAAATTTTACTCACAGGTTACGGTGAATTTGGCAAGGGTGCAATGTGGCATTTCCGGTCAATGTGTCAATTAGACATGGAGAATTGTTTTCAGCAGAAAAACAGCAGTGATTCTGACAAAAAAACAAAATCGGAGCCACCACATGGACTAATCACAAAGCAATTAAAACGTCCAATGGCGGCAGTATGGGAAATGGTTAATTGTCTGTGGGGTCACTATAACCAACACATTAGTACAAGGGAGATTTTACATCTCACTTGCCCTCACTCGCCATGCTGCAAGTGGGGGACATGTCTGCCAAACAGTGCAATATATGCATTGGGCGGTGGCTAAATAAAATAATGCAGGGAGGAAATAGTTAAAAAAAAAAATTGTATAAAAAGTGATTCTGCAGAATTACTCTGCTATTCTCCCAGAAAATCTTAATGCATTTACAGAAGCTGAGCTAATAAATATGTTTTGTACTTAACCTGGAGTTGTGGAGTTATTAATTTTGTGTCCCATGCTTTTCTATGGGGACAATCTAATGGGCATGCGAAACTCGCTGCGCATGTGCATTAGGTCCTCCATCGGCACGATGATGCTGGAGGAGAAGACGGAGTAGTCTTAGGATAGGAGAAACCTCTTAACTTATTAATACTACATTCAAGTAAAACAAAACACAAAAAGATCGCACTACAAAGTGTCCGTATGATATAATTATATTTAAATCTTTTGCATAACGTTTTTCTTCTCCACTTGGTTTTCAGTGCAGCAACCATTCATTTAATATACATGTAACGAGTAGAGAGGCATGTAACAAGAATAGGATTCTTAAACCTATTTAAAAAATATGTATGTTATCCAATGGTCTTTTCTTGACCACTAATAACACTTAGTACTTCAAACAGCTCCCTTTAATAGGAAAACCAAACAAAATATTCTATGAGAAGAAAGATACGATTAATAGAAGAATTAATAAATAAACTGCAACTTTCAGTCAAACATCTGGTTGGGAATGGGGTCCTCGCAGCCTAGCCATCTCAGCGTTTGTCTTCAACAAGGAAACAGGAAATAATATTTATTATATTATATTTTCTCATACAGGGAAGTTCTCCAGATGTTTACATATGTTTTTTTTTTCTGGTTCATGAGTTTGATTTACCCTGTAAATTGTATTGTGACATGTATTATTTCCTCAAGAAATACCTTTTCAAAAACTGACACAGTTCTCATTTTCAACCTTTTTATTTTGACTGTAAAACCAAAGCAAAAAAGGGAAAACCAACACAGATAATGTGCTATGGGATTTGGCCAGATTTGTACTTCTTAACATGCAAACTTGCCATAAATGACAAAACTTACATCTGAACTGCAACATCTGCTCAATAGAGCAGATCATGGAAAGTAGAACCAGATCTCCCTTACATTTGTGTCACGGCATTAGCACTATGGACCATCAATCAATTAAAAAAATAATGTTACATTTATATTGATTTACTTTAAATATTTTAAAGGTACACTATAGGCACCCAGACCACTTCAGCACATTGAAGTGGTCTGGGTGCAGTGTCCTAGGTCCCTTAACCCTGCAATATTAATTATTGCAGCTTTTTAAATTTAATAATTTATTAAATAATCTATTTCATAATTTGAGGGGGTACCATCCTAACCACCTTCCTCTAACTTGATGTGGGATTTGGATCTCCTTAAGGAGAAACACACTAGAGCCAGGTGACATTGTGGTTCTATCCTTGTGAGCGTGCTCTATTGTGTATTCCTCTTTTATATTTCAGCAAACATTGTTATACAAAGAAGAGAGGAAAGTATTTTTAAATGTTTTAGCTCCACCTATTGTGTATCATTACTGAGAGTTTATGCTGATTTGGGGAAGGGGACATCCAACCCCTTGATGGGACAATTTATACAAGGCATTATTACAACTTCTAAATTGTGAGTGGCCAAGTGGGACACATATTTTTTGCACTTTATCAACACAGTTATACGCTATGTTGTTTTGCTAACTGCTGTTAGTGCAGGGTATGAAATCTAAGCCACTATGCTATGAAAGCAAATAAAATAAGTAAGAATCAAATATTTGATTAATTGATTGATTCGGATGTTTTCCTCAAAGAATACAAAGCATACATTTCCTTATTGTCTAGACTTACTCAGTAATCCATTAAGAATGTGCACTCACACCATTTCTAAATTTAAGAAGAAACACACAGATACAATATAATCCCATGGACAGAATTGGAAAATTATCTAAATAGTTTCAAAGATGTACTAGCTAATTCAATGTACTTTATTGTCAGTATGTTCCAGTAAAAAGTTAATTATTCCAAGCTACTCGAAATTAAATATATTTCTGTTTTAAATATATTTTATGTTGTTTTAACCCAGATTGGTTTATGTCCAGCATTCTTACTCATGGACTGAGTAATTTCCATAATGATGTCATATCTTCTATTGTCTTGAATGTGAGACAGTGATAAAGTTTCTACCATATCAGCAGAACATTTACTGTTTCTGATGTTGATATTACAGAAGCTAATAGAATCTCACACATCTGCCTGGCTAGTTCATCCCATTATTGCTCCCCTGATAGCCATTATTTCAGTAATTTTCCTGCAGTTTGTTCTCCTGGGCAGCATTAATCAAGTGTGTGAATATTGAAGTTGAATAACATACGAGTTTAAAGAAAAAGTATTATTTTTCAAAAGCCAGTGTTTAGAATGCACTGACCAGATTAATAAAGAACCCGCAAATATGTGCTGGATTTGCTTTACAGATTACTTGTCCTGCTTCTTCCAGTATGAGTAGACTGTTCTGATCTGTATGCCAAGCATAGAAACAGTTTACCAATGGTGCCTCACAGTGTTAGTAAATTGTAATGTGTAATCCATATAGAGAGTTGTTCCATATAGAGAGTGCGTAATACTTTATACATTAATCCCTTTAACATGCCGGTAAATAAAGTGCATTAAAAAAGTGTTTTTAAATTGTATAGTACTAATAGTGCCAGAAAAAGTATGGAACAATATAAAATACTCACATTTGCAAGAGTCTTTTTCTATAGGCTCTATCTGCTAATGTTATATTATTGTTTTATTTGGAGGTTAATGTTATATTATGGTTTTATTTGGAGGTTATTTTATATATATGGTCCCTAACTTAATATATTTCTTCCCTTTTTTCTCTATGGCTTCATTTGAGTTATATGGAACTGTGTGACTATCTAAGAGGACTGGCATTTGCCCTCAAACAAGATGGCTGCTAAGTGATTGTAAGCTGGGTACATGGAGATTGATGACACCGGAAGTGATGTCATGTACTGGTCTGTCGCGTCACTTTTGGTTTCGGAATCAAGCGATGAACAGCTTCAGCTGACTACAACACACCTCTTCAAACGAAGAAGAGGATTGGAGTTTGGAATACAGCATTAGCCAACCAAAGGAGGACCTTTGGTTTTATATTCCAGACGGACACAGGAAATCTGCATCCCGATCGATAAAGCTGCACAAGCGAAACGCGTCTCGGAAGTGGACTACATGGTGGACTGGTATTACTGCACATTTTATTATTAGATTGTGTGTTGTTTTAATAAAGTGCCTTTTTCTAGTATACTTGTACCCATTGTACTTGTACCCACTTGTAGTCCTCTGCTGTTTTTGCTGGAATCAAGAGGGGTTGTGCTCTCCTTAATAACACACCTATCTGTATACCAAGAGCCTAGTATAATTGGCTCTTCACAAGGTGAGCAATTACTTCATATCATAAGGATATTTGTAAATTAACAGCTTGATAATACTGCCAAAGAAGTTTTCTCTTGTCTCTCTTCCTTTTTTGGTGAGAATACTGACCGGACACCATAAGAAGGTTTTGGTATTACCTTAACATACCTATGCTGAAGTGATTTGAGCCTATCCGTATGTGGCTCTTAACCATGTGAGTGTGGTCCCTACTATCTTCACATTTATGTTATTGGACCTTGATATACTTCACTATTGTGTGTATCTTTTTATCATATAGGGATTATATTACTGCATATTTCCCCATTGTATATAGGGGTAAGTCTGCCTTTTTTAGCGATTTTTCACGATTACTTATTTATACACTCTGCACGATTAGTTCTTTCCCATTGTGTCTTTCATATCGTGAGACAGACGACTATTAACAAAGAAGACACCACATCAGTTGAGACACCATCTATAATTGGGACTCTTTTATAGAACATTTTACAACTATTATATTTGTACCAAATTTATTTGTTTTATTTATCCTTCTTGGCGCAGCCTTTTCTCTGTTTTTGTGAGCCATGTCCCTGGCTACTTTTTGCGAGTTGACATTCTAATATTTTGCCCAGTTTACTTACTTTTTTTAATTTTATTTTTGTTGTGCATTAGATAAACAGCCTTTACGGATTGATGACATTAGATGTTAACGTGATGGATGAACTACATTTCAGCTTAAGCATGACAAATGATCTGCACATTTTTATATAATAATAGAGGCCTGAGTGGAAAAAACAGATATCTTACATTAGATGAAATTATTGTATCCATCAGAGCATAATGTGGGATGAGAGGCCAAAACAAATGATAAGGTTACTTAGCCTGAGGGGTAGCCGATGGGTGTTTTTGTAGTGAACTTCACTTGGTTAGGTGTCTGGGCTCGTTGGGTTCTCAGACTCGGGAGCTATGTTGAACATAATGCCAAAGATAGTTAAAACAAAAAGGAAAATAAAATATGAGTATAATTAAGAATATAGTGTAGCTAAAGTGGGAAGACCCTTGAGGAGAGGACATGGACTAGCACTTATCTTAAGCCTTTGCCTTGCCTAAGTTGCCCTCCAGCATGCCTTGTCATACCTGGGGAGGCGAGAGTTGAGGTTGTTCAGGGCGGGAGTGTGCTTTGGGTCCCAGGATGTGCGCTAAAGGGCCAGCTCACTGGGTAATTAACTTCGCCGAATGGTGATTTTAGGGACATTAAGTGTGTGTGTTTTCTCATAGGGTTAAAGACGCTTTATGTTAAAGTCACCCTGTATCTAGGAGGGTGCAGGGTGCAATGCCGGCCAGACCCCAGGACTGTAGTGGCTGGCTGAGGACAAGTGCTGTTGTGGGCATGGCACTAACAAACTATGTTTCACACTCCAGACACCAGCGAATTGTCCCATGTGGACCATGCTGTGGCTGTCAGAGGTGGACAAGGGGGAGAAGTGTGAAGGACCGCCATCATTGAGTACCATGCCCACATGTGCCCCCCTTATTCGCAAATCATGTTTGGGCTAATAAGAAGATTGTGCTTGTCCCATTGTGAATGTAATAGAAATTATTATTATTATTATTATTGCGATTTATATAACGCCAACAAATTCCGTAGCGCTTTATAATATTATTAGAGGGGGGATTTGACTATAAATAGGACAATTACAAGAAAATTTACAGAAACAAAGGGTTGAAGAGGGCTCTGCTCAAACGAGCTTACAGTCTATAGGAGGTGGGGTATAAAACACATTAGGACAGGGAATAGAAGTCAAATTAGGTGGGAGTGGAGCAGAGCCGGAGGAGAGAGTAGAGTGCTGCCCTTTAGGAGAGAGCAAGAGACAGGTGTGTGAGGTAGAGGTTAGGCTGGGAGGCCATAGGCTTTCCTAAAGAAATTAGTTTTAAGGCACTTCTTAAATGATTGAAGACTAGTGGAGAGTTTGATGGTGGTAGGCAGGCTATTCCATAGGACGGGAGCTGCCAGCGAAAAGTCCTGCAAGTGCGAGTTGGCCGTACGGGTACGAGCAGCGGACAGAAGGTCACGGCAGAGCGGAGAGACTGAGAAGGGGCATACCTATGGATTTGTGAGGAGATATAAGAGAGGCTAAGATTATTCAGTGCTTTATAGGTATAGGTCAGCACTTTGAATTGGCTCCTATAGTATACAGGAAGCCAATGTAAGGGCCGACTAAAGAGGAAAGTCAGTCTGGTGGCAGCATTCATTACAGACTGTAGCGGGGCAATACGGATATTGGGATGACCAATTAGGAGAGAGTTACAATAGTCCATGCGAGAGATTACTAGAGCATGGACAAGCTCTTTAGTAGCATCTTGTGTAAGAAAGGGGCGGATGCGGGCAATGTTTTTGAGGTGGAATTGGCATGATTTGACAACAGACCGGATGTGAGGCTCAAAGGTGAGGCCAGAATCAAAAGTAACACCAAGACAACGTGTTTGTAAGGATGGGCTGATATGGGTACCACCAATCTAAAGGGAGAGCGAGAGAGGAGGATTAGTATTAGGAGGAGGAAAGACAAGAAGTTCTGTTTTGGAAAGATTCAGTTTCAGAAAGCGGGAGGACATCCAATCAGAGATAGAAGAAAGGCAAGAGGTGAGACGTTGCAGGACATCAGGGGCGGGACTGAAGAGGGTCGAGGAGAGAGTAGGAGTTGAGGAAGCAGGCCAGACTGGTGAAGACTAGTCTTTCAAGAAGCTTTGAGGAAAAAGGGAGCAGGGATATAGGACGATAGTTAGAGGGGGAGGATGGGTCGAGACATGTTTTTTTTAAGATGGGTACTACAGAAGCCTTTTTCAGGACAGCAGGAACAGTGCCAGAAGAAAGAGAGCAGTTGAAGATGTGTGTTAAGGAGGGCACAAGACAAAAGGAGAGAGATCTAGTAAGGTGAGACGGGACAGGATCAAGCAGGTAAGTGGTGGGGCGAGAGGAAAGAATAAGTGCAGACGCCTCTTGTTCAGTAGCCTGGGAGAAGGTCGGAAGGGTTGGAGAGGCATGATCCAGGGGAGGTTGAAAAGGTGATGGGCAAGGTGGTGAAAATTCTTTCCTTATCTGTTCAATCTTGTCAGTAAATTAGCAAGCAAGACTATCAGCTGTAAGCTTAGTTTGGGGGGTGGCCACAGCAGGGCAAAGAAGAGAGTTAGAGGTATCAAAGAGACGCCTGGGCTTGTGGGAGCATGAACGAATAAGAGAAGAAAAGTATGACTGTTTGGCAAGGGCAAGGGCTGTGCTGTATGAACGCAATATGAATTTGTAGTGTAGAAAGTCTGACTCGGTGTGAGACTTCCTCCAGCAGCGTTCAGCAGAACAAGAACATCTTTGCAGGTAGCTTGTGGATTTAGTGTGCCATGGTTGGGGCGTGTCCTCCTTGCGGTGTGTATTAATCTGTGGGTAAGTGTTGGTGTCTCTTTGGGATATTATACTGGAACTCAGCTATAATACAGAGTAAAGAATCAATACAGTGTGATACAGTATGCTATAAAACAGTGTGATACAGTATGCTATAATACAGTGTGATATATAGTGATACAGAGTGCTATAATACAGTGTGATACAGAATGCTGTAATACAGTGTGATACAGTATGCTATAATACAGTGTGATATATAGTGATACACAGTGCTATAATACAGTGTGATACAGAATGCTGTAATACAGTGTGATACAGTATGCTATAATACAGTATGATATATAGTGATACAGAGTGCTATAATACAGTGTGATACAATATGCTATAGTACAGTATGATATATAGTGATACACAGTGCTATAATACAGTGTGATACAGAATGCTGTAATACAGTGTGATACAATATGCTATAATACAGCGTGATATATAGTGATACAGAGTGCTATAATACAGTGTGATACAGTATGCTATAAAACAGTGTGATACAGTATGCTATAATACAGTGTGATATATAGTGATACAGAGTGCTATAATACAGTGTGATACAGAATGCTGTAATACAGTGTGATACAGTATGCTATAATACAGTGTGATATATAGTGATACACAGTGCTATAATACAGTGTGATACAGAATGCTGTAATACAGTGTGATACAGTATGCTATAATACAGTATGATATATAGTGATACAGAGTGCTATAATACAGTGTGATACAATATGCTATAGTACAGTATGATATATAGTGATACACAGTGCTATAATACAGTGTGATACAGAATGCTGTAATACAGTGTGATACAATATGTTATAATACAGCGTGATATATAGTGATACAGAGTGCTATAATACAGTGTGATACAATATGCTATAGTACAGTGTGATAAAGTATGCTATAATAGTGTAATACAGAGTAATATAGTATTTTATAATACAGTGAGATACAGAGTGATACAGGATGATACAGAATAATATCATACTGTGTGATATAGAGGGATAGTGAATGCTATAATACAGTACAGTGTGATAATATATAATGCAGAGCATACTGTGATATGGAATGCTATCATACAATGTAATTCTGGAAGGCTAATGATCATTAACATTTCAAAGAAATGAACTCATCAATTAGGAGGCACAGGCCATATGGCTGATGGCAGTTAGTTTACATTGGAACTAGACAGCTAGGCATCTCAAGTGTAGAATTTCACACCTTGCAGAGCCTTTGATTAATCAAAGAATCAATCCATGTTGTAAACCGTCTGCCCCATTTCACATTCAAATTAGCCCCTTTTGAAAATGTTTTTTGGGAGTGTCTCAGAATATTGTATATTTTTCAATCTCAGTTGAGTTGTACTCCCAGAACTGTGTGTCGTCCGGTTACTGGAGGAAAGGGATGCCTGCTTGTTTTAAGGGTTCCAGAGTGACAGAGGGAAGGAATTAGCAGAGGTTACCGGCCGGGTTACCCGTGGTCCGCTACAGTTTGTAATTGGTGTATAGTGTTTCTCATGTTTGTCATGCCGCTTTGTATGTCCTTGATATCTTCCTCTGTCACTTGCACCCAGTTGCTGACATTTTGCATGTCACTTTTAATATTCCATGTCAGCAGACAGCATTTCCTGGATGTCCTGAAACCAGTTTTGTAGGTCTCGCTTGGTAGCAAGTGTGTTGTCGCCCCGTGCAGCAATGGTTGCCGGCATGGTGCTTTCAGTGTCCAGCTCCGTTTGACTAGATGAGTGGGCCGGTGAGCATGATGGCGTCTGTGTGGTGGGAGCCATTATAGACTGCGCCTGGCGCTGTAATAAGGCGCAGATGTTGGGCTGTTCTGCAGAAGGGCCGGGGTAAGTCTTTTGTGTACATCTCCCCATGGTTCTGGGGGTTTCAGTGTGGATTGGCTAGAAGTCGCTGTCCAGATCGGAGTCACCATGTTTGTAGGCTCCGCCGATGAGATTCTCTAGGTCGTGGATGGTTGGTAATTGGTAGGCCTTGGGTCTGCGTTTCAGCTTACCAGACCTCGCGGTGTATAAGAAAGGCATCTGCCGATGCGGTGTTCGATCCAGATATCGATTCTGTGTCAATAAGGGCTTGATGATGAGCACCTCTCAAGATATTTGTGGGTTATTAGCCTCCAAGTTAGAAGCCTGTAGATATGACATCTGCCCAGCTTCAGGTCCAAGCTCCGCACCCCGTTTTCTGACTTTTTTAAAACAAGTTTTTACTCCATCAATAGAGTTGCAGTCGCGCGGACAGGAGCGGAGATTGGCCACTTCTACACCCCTCCAGGCGCACGAGGTCAACGCTCGGCTCTCCCTCAGCGCGGACCCTGTGAGACATCAGACGCACACTGGTACATCCCCACTGGTTACAGGAGTACTTTAGGGGCAAGCAGAGGCATCGGTGGGGGTAAAAGCTTCAGGATTATTGCGATTTAGCATTCTAAGCGCCAGAGCTCATTCCGGATGCGTCCAGGAATTTTAACTAATATATTTTATTACTAAGTGTTCCACTATATACTTCACATATTTCCTCATTTTGCATGCATGGGGCCCTTAGATGGTCTTGTAACGGAGTGCTGTACCCGTGTGGTATCTCTGCTGTAGATTCTCCCGGATCCCATAGTGAAGCAGTGATTATAACTTCCGCTTTTCCAAACATCAGTCGAGACTTAATGAAGGGTACAAAACAAACTGGTTTATTCAGCCAAAATTACAAATGTTTATACACAGATCCCCAGCATTAGGTCTTTATTCTAGAACACTCAAGTCCGGCCAAGTGTCTCTGTGTCTGGGAGATAATTGAGTTGATAACCGGTAAACTAATTATCTCCCGGACACAGAGCCGAATACAGAAAATACCCCAAAAACGCTGGGTTAACATTACATTTCCCCACACATCATATATAATATAATTAATAAGGGGAGATCAGAGCACCCATTCTGGGAAAATATCACTCTGATCCATTGTGGAAACAATGAGCAGCTGCCTGCATCTGTTGGTCCCACCCTCCTCGGCTGCGAAGGGGACAATTTATCTTAATGTGCCCAAGTTGGTTGAATCAGTGGCACAAGGGCCTCTTCTTCCGGAACGGTGCGGCTGCAGGCTGATGGGGCCAGTTCAGCAGTGTGGTTGTCGGGGGGTAGTTGTTCGGCCGATACCCTGGTTGTCCTGCGCTGATTTTGGTCCTCCATCTGTCGTGGAACTCGTCGACCAATCTAGCTGCTTCTTCCATGTTCAGGGGTTTTCATTCCCTGATCCAGTCGTGAACCTCTGGTGGAGTATGTATAAAAACTGCTCCCTTTCTAAGGCCAAAAAAATTTCTTCAGTAGCCTTAGGGAGAAACCGCGTACCTTGCTAGCAATGTCTCTTTGACTCGTTCGGAATTGTGAATATCCGAGTCGGATACTGCTCTGTATACTTTCATTGCTCTACTGGATAATTTGCTGCTAAGAATGGCAGCCCAGTTAGCCTTGTTCAGGCCCTCCAAAGTGCAATGGCGTTCAAAGTCCTGCAAATAATTGTCAATATCCATCTCTCCATCCATGAAAGTTTTAAAAGCTGCATAGTTCAGCTTTTGTGGTTGTCCATTCATAGATCCTTCTAGGGAGGCTGTATCCCCTTGTTGCGATCCGGCTTTCGATTCACGGGCTTTCTGTGCCTCTGTCGCTTGAGTCATTATCTGTACGATGATGTCATGCGAGGGATTGGGCCCCAAAATGCTGAGCCACCATCAGACATCCCTCTGGAACTCGGATTCCTCAGCACTGACCACGGATGAATTATTGGATCTGTTGCTCTCCATGAGTTCAGCGATGAGTGCAGTTTTCGGCTTGTTACTCGCCACTCTTCCTCGAGCTTCCAGTAAATCCTTAAGTGTGGTTCACTTGAGGAGCTGGTACTGCTGGGCCATTCACTGCATCTACTTGTTTGGGATATCCATTCAGGAGAAAAATCCTGCCACTTGCCACCAGTGAAAGTTTTTCCCAACCGCTACCATCGTCTTGGCCGAAAAGAGTTTCACGCGGTCAATCCTGAGTGATTTGTCGAGAGCAATATATCCATGAAAAAGGTGAGCTCCCTGATGGTTTCAAGGAATGATTGTTCACTACCCTGGACACAAGGTTTCCTCCAAAAAGCGCTCTTCTAAGTCGCTGGGAAAGTGGGGGAAATGAAAGTCCAAGGTGACCGGGAAAACCTGGATCACATGGCCCGGCCAGAGTTCCTGAGCGGTTGTAGGTTAGTCCCACTCATAGCATCTGGGGTACTCTGGCTCTAAGTGAATGGGAAAATGGGAAGGTAACAGGACACGGAAGGAGGAGCCCAGTTCATCACAGGTCTATTAAATGTTAACCAGCCTTGTGGTTTTTAACGTTTTCTATAGGAGTTTTTCTATAGGAGTTTATTGAGAAGTTTTTGTTTGGCAACACCCACTAGTAAAGCAGCCTGTACATTGGAACTTTATTCTTAGCATTAGTTAGAGAGACCAAATGTATCACTATACTATTTCTTCTTACTCAATTCATTGGCATTCTTTTGTGGTCATAATAACTCAAGATATCCCAGCATTTTCTCACTTGTTAGCAGTGGTGTATCCTGGTTTTGTGCTGCCCTAGCACAAAAAAACTCAGGCGCCCCCCCCCCCTCCCCCCGCACCAACCCCCCCCAACCTGCCTTCTAAATACACACACACACATACATTCACTGACAGATACGCATACACTCGCTAACAGAAACACACACACACTAACAGACACACTCACACTCACTAACAGACACACACTCACAGGCAAACACACTCACACAGTCAGACACACACACTGTCAGACACACACATACACACTAACAGACAAACACAGTCAGACACACACACTAACAGACACACTCACTCACTAGCAGACACACACTAGCAGACACAAACACACACACTAACAGACAAACACAGTCAGACACACACACTAACAGACACACTCACTCACTAGCAGGCACACACTAGCAGACACACACACACTAACAAACACACACACATTAACAGACACACACTCACTGACAGAAGCTACTTTAAGAGCAGCAGAGGGCAGTAAAAGACCATTATAGATGGTGCATAGTGTGCTGTATTTACATTTTTGTAGGGTTTTTTTGTTCTCTATTTTCAATCAGGTTTGTTTAGCACTTGGTAACACACACATACACACTAACAGACACAGTCAGACACACACACACACACTCACACAGTCAGACACACACACACACTAACAAAACACACACATTCACTCACTCACATTAACACATTTTTTTTTATTTACCCCCCCCCCAACCTTCTTACCTTTGGGAGTGCTGGGGGGAAGGGGTTCATTACCTCCCTGGTGGTCCAGTGGTTGCTGGGCTGGGCTGGGCTGGGCAGGCGAGGGAGCTCTTCCCCTGAGCGGTGTGCTCAGCTCCCTCGCGCGCCGCAAAGTGAGGCGGGGAGCCGGAATATGACGTCAACTTCCGGCTCCCCGCCTCACTCTGCGGCGCGCGAGGGAGCTGAGCACACCGCTCAGGGGAAGAGCTCCCTCGCCAGCCGCCCGCACAGCCTGGCATGTCTATTAGCCACAAGGCTAACAAGGCATTTGCCTGGGCATTTGGGGGGCGGCGTTTTTTGCCGCCCCCTGAAAAATGCCGCCCAAGGCAAATGCCTTGTTTGCCTCGCGGCTAAAACGCCCCTGCTTGTTAGTACTAGACAGCAGATTTCACACTCTCTAGATAGCATTTCTTTGGTTAAAATGGTAAAGCTACTTTAAGAGCAGCAGAGGGCAGTAAAAGACCATTATAGATGGTGCATAGTGTGCTGTATTTACATTTTTGTAGGGTTTTTTTGTTCTCTATTTTCAATCAGGTTTGTTTAGCACTTGGTAATAAAGATTTTCTTTAATGAACAACATTTCCAGGAAGTTATTATTAAGACAATTATTAATGTCACTTGGAAATGTCTAATGAAAACACAGGTAGAATGTTCCAGTGTTTTAACCCCTTAAGGACAGAGCTTCAGAAGCTTGTCTTTCACTTAATAACATCATTTTTTTCATTTTTTGCTGTTTGCGTTCAACTGCAGTTTGCATTTTACTAATTTATTGCACCGACATATTATATATCGTTTTTTAAAGGACAGAAATGGATTTAATTTGATGTAACACACATATATATAAATGCTTATTTAAAAAAAATACAGAAAAATGCAAACAAAATGAAAATATTTGTGTTTTAGTTACAGTTTTTGCAATAAAAATGTATGCATAATTAGTGCAGGTTAAGGAAAGTAATTAAAAATTAAATTCATTTAGTTGTTCTGATTTACAGAATATCTAATGTGTCTGGGATTTAAGTTTTTGTTTTGTTAGTTACAGGTCACAAAGCACAAGGAGTAAAATAAACTTTTAATGTGGAGCGATTTTAGAATTTGGTATGTTTGTCTTGCAAGCTTAATAGCCATGAAAGAAAACAAAATTGCCACACAAAAGTAGATATTTCTATAAAGTAGACATCACAGGCTATTTACCTAGGGTTGTTTTGACACTTTCTACGTAGCCATTTCACCGCCAACCTCTGCTAAATATTGGAGTAAAATTGTGTTTTGTTTTGTTTTTGGCACACAAACTTATAACAAAGAAATTCTCATGTGTATTTTGTAAAGTTGGTGTGTGCTATTCCTGTACAAAGTTTTATTTTGTGTTCAGTTACATCTGTTGAGTAAAATGACACCCCCATTGTCAGTGGCGTCTCTAGGATTCATTTTTAGGTGGGGCACATGGTGGGCCAGGGACTAAAGTAGGGGGGCACATTTAACCCCACCCTCACCTCAGTTTGACCCCGCCCCTGCCGCATGTAAAGCCCCGCCCCTGACACAATGTGTTTTTTGTTTTTTTTTATAATCCCTTGTGGACAATTCATTATTTTCCACCAAGGATTATTAAAAAACAAACACATTTCCCTTGATACAGTCCATACACACACACACACAGACTGCTGAGTCCTTACACACAGAGACACACAGAGACACACA